TTTTAATCAAAACAGAAACGTGTTGTATTAATAACATTATTTAAGTTCGACAATTTTACAACTCAAATAATTTTTATATTTTATTGGTTAGTAAATCTGATTACATAATATCATAGTACTCACATAGTAAAGTACAAAATTATGTTATGAGTCATTATTTTATTACCGATTCCACTTCAATTAATTTTGATAAAGGATTTTTCGTTACAAAAGAAAAAAGCTATTGAAATTTCAGCTGAAACTTGAAAACAAATCAAATTCACTGCATACTTGTATGCATCTAATTTAAATTTTTGCCATGACAAGCATATTTAAGGGAAACAATATTCAAAAAAATATATCGTCGAACATTTTAAATTATGCATATTATTGTGTTTAGAATTTTAAATTAATTTTGATAAAAATAACTTAAAACGTCACAAAATGAAATTTCTCATAAGCAATATTGAAATAACATTTTTTAAACTCATTTAATTTAACAGTACAATTTAAATATATAATATTAAATAATCATAATCTTGAATAAACTTTGGCTACCGTACTGTAACCATATTATTAATCAACTATATTATCTAAGTGATATATTATATCAGTTATTCAACGAATCCTTATATAAATACACTGAAGTAATAATTTTTTCATTGCTAAACAATCTATATAGGTACGAAATATTTCTGTTATCTTCTTTTTGTACCTAATTCATGAAATTTGATAAAAGCTGTATAGATCGTGAACAATTCATTGAAGTGATGTTTATCCATGTATTATTTGAAAAATTTTTATTTTCTCATTGTCGTTAAGGATGTAGAATATGGAACGTAAAATGCATTTATCAAAGTAGAAAGTCCGTATATATACAGTGTACATAAACACGCACACGACGCACATACATTGCACGATTTTCGCGTACAGTTGAAAACTCTAGTTTTCTTTTTTTCGTTCTTGCAGAAATTCCATGTGTATATACACATATATAATAAAAACGTAGTGGCCGCGGCAAGAACGCAGTTCGCAGGGCGAAATCACTTCGCGAATGTGGGTCGACCCCGAAACACTGGGTCGTTATCATAACGTTTATGGAATTATTTTATACCCCGCCTGCACCGACCCCGATACCACGTATTTTTGCATCTGTATGRGTGGCTTACATATAAAGTGTATAAGTACACATAGTTATATATATATATTTATAGCGYCGTAATCGTGTCATGCATTTATATCTATGCATATATATATACATAAGACGAAGTTTTAGTGCAGTTGAAATGTTATACGTGAGCAGTCGTCCACCGCAGACGTTTTATTAATATACTCATACATATAATATTATAGTACGATGTGTATATTATATACATTRTACACACACGATAGAGGCATATTATATACGTATAATACAGTGATGTTATTATGCGTTACATCTTTATTACGGGGCGCGCTCGTGTTGCTGCAGGTCTCCCTCTCGGGATATGCACTCGTCGTAGTCACTATAGTCGTCGCATTGAAAGTAAAAAGAAACATATTGATATAGATATATGTGTACGTATAAATAAAATGCCAATACGTAAAAAGAAATCCCATCCGCTCGTACGTGCGTATATCATATACATAATATATCATATATGATATTGGGTACATGTATATACAGGGACCGGACCGGACGATATCGTTTCGGCGTGGCGTATAATATATAATAAACGCGCGCGTGAACTTTGAGAGTGAAAATCCAATTGTCCCCGCCACCGTGCACCAGCTCTGCACGGTATCATAGCGAGGGCAGGGCACCACCGTCGTTTGCACCACAGCGACCAGCAGCAAAAGTATACCCCCTCCCCTCGATCCCCACTCATCCTACACAAACACACACACACACGCAAAAACGCACGCACGCACACAATCCAACCGACTATACGCCGTTACCCCGAGGGGCCGCCCTTTCTCGCTCTCAACCGGCAGCCACCGCCCCGCTCATCGTCGTCCCCGCGCCCGGTGCAAAAACCCGTCCAGCCTATTGAACCATCATGAGGAAAACCCAAATACGGCAAGGGCGGAACTGGAACGCCGCCGCCGTCGCTGGAGCGCCTCTCCGTGACCCCGAAACGTTTTGCCCGGGCATCGGCGGCGGCGGCGGCGGCGGCGACTGTACTATATACGATACGACGTAGTATGTACCGTAGTAGAACATCAACCCCTCCGACCGGCCATCTCTGACGACCTGGTAGCACTCTCACACACAGACACGACCGTTATCATCCCACTACCCTACATATATTACGCACACGACCGCCCCTATTGTATGCCATCACCTTGCACTCGAAAACGACTCACCTGAACGCGTACCGTCCACCGCGATCAAGGCCGCCGCGCTAACTTTTCTGAGCTCAGATTTCATACACGAATTTTGGCGACTGGTCGGTAATTTCGCGTGCTTAAATCATGTCCATCAAATCCGAATCTTCATAGAGGGAGGGGTAGGATAGTCGTGATATTACTTTATTATAAATACCAGCAGACACTGTTGGTCGTTGAAATAATCGTCCGCTATTCAGAGGGTGGTGTCTGTCGGTGGATGTTTTGGTGTAGATTGGGTGTGTGAAGAAAAAAATGGGAAAGATACGCATAATACGTGGGTATAGGCAAACGCGTAGCGCAAACGCCGCGGCCACGGCTGTCGTCGCCCCATCAAGGGCCCGTATAGCCGACGCCACCGCCGGCATATAAGGGGCGGGCGAGACAGCGAGCAGCGAGTGAGCGAGCGCGCCGGTCCGGTATTAGAGGTCAGTATTGATCCCGGCGGCGCGCGGCCCGTGTGACTGCACACACAAAAGCGACCCGCGCGCGCGCCGCCGCCGTCACACGGTTGTCGGTTTTCTTACGCGCGCGCGCGCGCGCTGCGGTGGCGGCGGCGGGACGGCGTGCGATGGTTGTCGGTAGGCGGGCGGCCGGAGGCTTTTATACATGCAAGTTCCGGGGACAAGCAGCCGATCCGCGGCAGTCGCTCGTTACCCATCGACGGTGTCGTGCGCATAATACACCGTGTGTGCGTGCGTGTGTGTGTGCGTGTGTGTGGCGTGTGTGTGATGTGTGTGTGTGCTTGTGCGAGTTGTGACCATCCGCCCGCTCGATGCCGGACACTACGATAATAATATCGGCACGATATCATTTATTATAAGGAGAAAAAATTTTAAAAAAAAAATTACACACACACAAACTAACTTTGAAACACGCGTATAATACCATATTATATAGTATTATCCGTTACGTACGCAATTTCTATATATATCAAGGACGTGCACGCGCAAATTTAGTAATTTAAAAGTTCGTCGTAGTGCTTACTGCGTGAGAACATAACAATAATATATTATACGACGTCACCTGCAGCGAAAGTTTTTGTTTCGTCGCGAGTCACCGTAATCGAATCAGGTCTGCACTGCAACGATCGGTCACTATACAGCGGACAGCGCTCATTGACACGCACGGCACGCGTCCAGTCGCGTGGCCGGCCACGGCCCGCTGACCAAGTCGCGGTAGGGGCAACACCCGCACCACCAACAACACCGGAACCACCGACTGGCCATGGCCGCGAGGTAACAGCGCGCGTGCCGGCCGGATACCACTCGTGTGGTACGCGGCGACGACGAGACGTTGGCCACATCGTGGTATTTGATGTTTCCGGATCGGACGACCCCGGCGAGGTACAATGCTTCCGGAAAGGCAATGCTGCGCGCAGCTATGCCCGGTGCAGGCGACGACGATGCCGCCGAAGACCGAGTGCCTGCAGGACCGCAAGTGGTGGTGCTTCCTGCTGTCCAGCGTGTTCACGTTTCTCGCCGGACTGCTGATTGTGCTGCTATGGCGGTTCTTCGCGTTCCTGTTCACGCGCAAGCAGCCCGCCGAGCTCGCGGCGCCCGGTTGCCCGAACAGCGAGCCCAAGAAGGAACCGAAGCGACAGGGCAAACAGGAGTTCGAGGGAACGTTCATGACAGAGGCCAAAGACTGGGCGGGCGAACTGATATCCGGACAGACCACTACCGGGCGGATATTGGTAAGATTCATTACATATATCATATTATCATCATTCGTCATGGTATAGTTATAATTGTTACTATGTACCTATACCATCTAATATTTCGCTGTATCCCTTGTATAGTTGCACACCTGCAACCTAAAACCTTACTGTGTACCTACACATAAATTTAATTTGGTAAAGTAACTTTGWTTTTATAAAGGTATTAGGTACTATACTACTATAAATAATATGATATATGAATGGTTATCACGATGTTGTACCTTGTACTTAATAAAATATATATGTAAGTATGACTAATGTTGTACTGTTCTTGTGGTTGTGTGGAAAGGGTTCTTACAGTGGTTGTGGCGAGGGATTGACCACCGCGCAAATCATGTTCTGGGAGAAAAACCACGTGCCGCAGTGATGTCGTCGTTATTGTTGTGCTATTATTATTGTTACCATTGCTATAATATTATATTACGCGTATAATTGAATAACGTAGATACTATTATTTCACTCTGCCAGTATCTCTTCAGCACCGCCGTATTGTACTTTGCTAGGGAAAAATATTAGAAAATATAAGTATTGTAATATCAGTTATTATTTTATTGGTGGACATGTCAATGTGCCAAAATATATTGTGTTGCCGAGTATGGTTTGCTTGTAAAACGTTCAATACAATTCCGAGGGATGCAATAATTACGTCCTTCGTATGTTTGACAAATAATATTGTAAATCGTAAGTCAGAAGTTAAAATGAAAGCTCTATTTTATTGCGTATAAAAGTTATGTTCATCACCATCTCTGCTAACGCCACAATCGTGATAACCCCCCCTCCCACCTTCTCAAACATTCTGCAGACAATTCTCGGCCGACTACAATCACACACGTTTACAGATTGTGAGTTGAACATTTGGCCAGTTCGCACACGAGAAAACTGGATTTTCTCAGGTTACATGTCGATCATACGTTTATAACACACAATCATTTACAGTCAGTAACCCTCATCCATTTCAATACACAATCCATTTTTTAACGGCCATGACCCGTAATAATTGACTGAACGTGTTTGGATATTAAAATGGTTCCCATTATTGTGACTTGGGAAAAATGGCGTATGACGGGACAATGTTTTTTATATTTGAATAAAAAGCTCGGTGACAGTCTGTACCAGGTGACGGTAATTGTGACRGAACGGTGTCGTACGTATCGCGAAAGCGTAAAAGCATAATAAAACTCGATTAAATAATAACAATATTACAATAATATAATACACCGTTTGTCATGAGTATGCAAAGTATTGTGTGTGTGTGTGTGTGTGTGTGTGTGTGTGTGTGTGTGTGTGTGTGTGTGTGTGTGTGTGTTTGATGAAATTATACATTACTATGTTGTAAATTATTTGGTGATATATAATAGACATACGGTACCGACAAATTATTAATGCCATCAAAATACACATTATTATAATATATACATATCATATTTTGTTTGACGAGACAACTACCTACTATATAACCCACTACTGTAAATTTAAATACAATAACATCGCGTGCAGATATCTCGACTAACGTTTTCAAAGTAATTCCGTATCGGTTACCGTGATTTTTTTAACTGATTTATTTTTTCTATGAAATGTATAAGTAGCCGCTTATAAAAGTTTCAGTTCCGAGAATGAGAACAAAAGTTGAGTTCTGATTACAACTGCATAACGTTACTCGAACACATACTCACACACACACATAAAATAACTATGGCTAAAGATTAAATGTATAGTGTTTGTATTTTAAGACAGTTAAAACTTTTAATTGTATTTATCTTTATAAAGGATAATACACAACACAACAGATAACATATTTTCAACTTTTCAAACTGTTAAAAGTAGGTGACTGGTTTTGTATTGTGTAGTTTGATAATCAAAACGCTATTAGACTAAATAAAAATCACAATTCATGATAATAATTCACATTTGAAGTTCGTACATGATAACACAATACTAGTGTTGACTTTAAAACGAATAATGTATAGTAATATAAATAAAAAACTTGAATTATAAAACTTTTAGAAAAATAATTTTAATTATACTGTAGTTGGTAATAATGGTGATTTAAGTTAAGGATTTTAACAAACTTATGATTTTTAATCGCTTAACAATCAGAAGGTAACTTATTCGATACATTATTAATTCGATGACAAACGGGTGTGTTATATAATACGGGTAAAGTACGGATGTGTTTAATCAGTATTTGAAAATGACAATAATTTACTTCATTTGTTTTACGACTTCAAAAGTTTACAGTTAACGATGATTAAACTCCAAATTCTTAAAATGCTTAATTTAACGTTTATAAATAATTTCGATATTATTATAGTGATTGTAAAATCCATACATAAGACATATATAATAATTATAGTCACATGGATTCCTAAATACTTTATAAAAAAATCTACTAATGACATTTTACTACGTTAATTATTCTACTCTCAAATAAATTATGCGTTTGTCTTATATAAAAGACATGTGTACAAAGTAAAATAGAGTGATAACTTTTATCTAGTATAAAATATTATGAGGTGTAAAACATAATTTTTCAAATAAAGTTTTCTAAACTCATTGGAGGTAAAATATAAAAAAATAGTAGTTGCAAATAATCCAAGTCTTATTATTTCAAAACAAAATGTATGTTGATAGTCATTATTGATTTTACATCCCTACCCCCTATTCACAAACATAATATAATATAATATATTATGTTTTTGAATGGCGTTAGGTGTTGATAAATAATTAGTCAATAACTGGATGGATGATAATAATAATATATGTTTTTTTTTCGATGATGCGGTACCGGTACCATGATATTGATACCGTGTTTTATATATTATATTTTTCACAACCGTTGATTTGAATTTATGAGTTTTTTTTGTGTGCTTTCGGTGAATGGATAACTGTTTTTTACGGTTCAATCAAAATAAAAGGTGTGACGAAAAATAGAAGGTTCGATTTGAATAACATGTAATTTTCTGAATGGTGGACGCTTATCGATTAGCTTTTTTTTTTTTAAATAAAATGCATTTAAAACGAACAATTTTGTTCAACCTACATCGCATTTATTCGCACTATACAATACGTCATGTAGGATATCGCTTATGGTCGTTCAGTGGAATGATAATGAACAGTTCAAAACACCATTCCGGTACCTATTAATGTTTTATGAGAGGTTCGATTAATTAACGGTTCGCTACTATAGTACAAGTTCTACGCATTAATATTCATATACCTACCTGTACAGTGTACACATTTACCTAGGTATACGGTCGTTTAATTTCAAATTGTATCCGATACGTTTCAACAAGCTAAACGTGAGTAATTATTATGTTTGCGAAAATGGTGTACTGCGCGGGATTATTCAAACTTCATTCTCGTTGAACTACCCACGTACTTTATGACTGGAAATAAATCAAGATCTATTATTATACGCGACTATTATCGCGTAATAACAGACACATTAATACAATACCTATACCGACTCGGCAAGATACCATAAAACATGTCCGTAGACCGCAATTATTGTGGTTTATAATGTGCTAACATCATTACGCGTATAATATTATTATCATTTGCTCGCTATACTAGAAGGATATTATCATCGTAATTATTATTCTATTGTATTTTTCCATATAATTTACTATAGATATTAAATAATAATTGTTAAAGGTCTAAGTTGGTATTTAATCAATGCTTTATCAACTACTACAGTGTGAGTATCCTTTTATAACGTGCAGATAGCTCGCAATAATGTTCACGTTTGACATTCGAATGTTGGCGTCGTATTATATTTATATAGAGCATAACATAATAATTAATAACCATTAGATTATATAATATATTGATATGAATCGAAACGCTTACAATATTATAATGTTCTGCATGAAGATGATTTTAAAAGTTTTCAATCGAAGAAAATTAATCTTATGGTTGATGCTGGATTAAAAACAATAATTATAAAGTTCTCGGCGCATATCCAAAATTCAAGGTGCTTAGACATTTTTCATGCTGTGATTCTATTTTTAGATTAGTTTCTTTTAATTTTAGCTAGGTATATTCAGTAAACATTAATATAATATATAATACATAATATATATGTTATAAAATATTTTAAATGAACATTTTACTTATTTTTTATTGTTTTTAAATTAGTTACAACTTTACAAGATATAATTTATTTGTTAACCGTACAAATGTTGAAACTTTAATAAAATATTGCAGTTTATTATTTGAATACACGAACTTGATGAAGTTAAATAAGTATTCTATACAATACATAATATTCAAATATTTTAATGATGCATTTATATTGCCATAACCTATAAAACATAAATAATGATTGCAAATACTTCTTAGTTCTTACTAACAGGAAAATGTTATAATGTAACAAAGTATTAACAAAAGTTTTTACTATCACACACGCTGACAAGGGAGTTAATTCGTTTTTTCGTAAAACTTTTCAGTCATTCTAGCTAGGTATATTTGCCAGAAAACAAAATAGTTAAATTATAAATACTATACAATCAATCTTCATTATTAATAAATATAATTCAAGAATCCATATCAAAATAATAATAAAAATATTCTTTTTTTTTTTTAAAAAAAACCTACTTAAATGATATTATTAAAGAAAAAATTAAATTAATTAAGTTATTAGAAATCAGGGAAAATATAATTGTTAATCATTAACCACGTTTCATATAATATTAATTTAAAAATTTTGCTTCTAAAAAAGAGGTAATTTTTACAAACTTTCAATAATAAATTAGAATGATAAGTAATAATAATAAATTTAGAACAACCCAATAGTTCTCAATAATAAGTCTCATTTTATTCTTTGGTTAATATATTATTTTACAAGCATTATATTAAGAATATTTTGGTTTAAAATGATTCCGTATTATGTTGATKTATAATTATGYGTGGAAATCTAATATTTCACGACTTCATGTCATACTATCTTGGGTAAATATTATATTAACGTTTTATTA